AGGTGCTCCCTGTGGGTGCTGATGGGGGACCCTCCTCTGCCCCCCTTCCCCTTGTGTCCCCCGCCCCATAGCTCCTACCCCGATGAGGAGGGCCCCAAGCACTGGTCCCCGCTGCGCTATGAGCACGTCATGCGGCTGCGGCAGGCGGCGCTGGAGGCTGCCCGAGCTGCTTGGTCCGATTACCTGCTGGTGAGGGGGGGGGTCTGGCTCAATAAAGGGGGGGGGGGGTCACAGAGCACCCATGGGTGCTCACGGCTCCCATTGGGTGCTCTGGGGGCCAGTTCCTGGACGCTGACAACGTCCTCACCAACCCCGACACCCTGGGGCTGCTGATGGCCGAGAACAAGACGCTGGTGGCGCCGATGCTGGACTCGCGGGCGGCTTATTCCAACTTCTGGTGTGGGATGACCCCGCAGGTGAGGTGGGGTAGAGCTGGGGGGCATCCCTTGGGTACCACAGCGGGGGGGCATCCCTTGGGTACCACAGCTGGGAGCTGCATCCCTTGGGTACCACAGCTGGGGGGGCATCCCTTGGGTACCACAGCTAGGGGGGCATCCCTTGGGTACCACAGCTGGGGGACATCCCTTGGGTACCACAGCTGGGAGCTGCATCCCTTGGGTACCACAGCTGGGGGGCATCCCTTGGGTACCACAGCTGGGAGCTGCATCCCTTGGGTACCACAGCTGGGGGGCATCCCTTGGGTACCACAGCTGGGGGGCATCCCTTGGGTACCACAGCTGGGGGGGCATCCCTTGGGTACCACAGCTGGAAGCTGCATCCCTTGGGTACCACAGCTGGGAGCTGCATCCCTTGGGTACCACAGCTGGGGGCATCCCTTGGGTGCTACAGCTGGGAGGCATCCGTTGGGTACCACAGCTGGGGGGGATCCCTTGGGTACCACAGCTGGGGCGCATCCCTTGGGTACCACAGGTGGGGGGGGCATCCCTTGGGTACCACAGCTGGGGGCATCCCTTGGGTACCACAGCTGGGGGCATCCCTTGGGTACCACAGCTGGGAGCTGCATCCCTTGGGTACCACAGCTGGGGGGCATCCCTTAGGTGCCACAGCTGGGGGCAGTATCCCTTGGGTACCACAGCTGGGGGCTGCATCCCTTGGGTACCACAGCTGGGGGCAGCATCCCTTGGGTACCACAGCTGGGGGCTGCATCCCTTGGGTACCACAGCTGGGGGCAGCATCCCTTGGGTACCACAGCTGGGAGCTGCATCCCTTGGGTACCACAGCTGGGGGCTGCATCCCTTGGGTACCACAGCTGGGAGCTGCATCCCTTGGGTACCACAGCTGGGGGCATCCCTTGGGTACCACAGCTGGGGGCATCCCTTGGGTACCACAGCTGGGAGCTGCATCCCTTGGGTACCACAGCTGGGGGGGGCATCCCTTGGGTACCACAGCTGGGGGGGCATCCCTTGGGTACCACAGCTGGAAGCTGCATCCTTTGAGTGCCACATTTGGGTCCCACATCCTTTGGGTCCCACATCTGGGTCCCACATCCTTTGGGTCCCACATCTGGGTCCCACATCCTTTGGGTCCCACATCTGGGTCCCACATCCTTTGGGTCCCACATCTGGGTCCCACATCCTTTGAGTGCCACATCCTTTGGGTACCACATGTGGGTACCACATCCTTTGAGTGCCACATCTGGGTGCCACACCCTTTGGGTCCCACATCTGGGTCCCACATCCTTTGTGTCCCACATCTGGGTCTCACATCTGGGTCCCACATCTGGGTCCCACATCCTTTGGGTCCCACATCTGGGTCCCACATCCTTTGAGTGCCACATCCTTTGGGTACCACATCTGTGTCCCACATCCTTTGAGTGCCACATCTGGGTCCCACATCTGGGTCCCACATTTGGGTCTCACATCTGGGTCCCACATCCAGGTCCCACATCTGGGTCCCAGCATCCTTTGGGTCCCACATCTGGGTGCCAGCATCCTTTGGGTCCCACATCTGGGTCCCACATCTGGGTCCCAAATCCTTTGGGTCCCACATCCTTTGGGTACCACATCTGGGTACCACATCCTTTGGGTCCCACACCCTTTGGGTCCCACATCCTTTGGGTCTCACATCTGGGTCCCACATCTGGGTACCACATCCTTTGAGTGCCACATCTGGGTCCCACATCCTTTGGGTCCCACACCCTTTGGGTCCCACATCTGGGTCCCACATCCTTTGGGTCCCACATCTGGGTGCCACATCCTTTGGGTCCCACATCTGGGTCCCACATCCTTTGGGTCCCACATCCTTTGGGTCCCACATCTGGGTCCCACATCTGGGTCCCACATCCTTTGCGTCCCACATCTGGGTGCCACATCTGGGTGCCACACCCTTCGGTTCCCTCATGCGGTGTGTCCCCCCCCCCCCGCAGGGTTACTACCGCCGCACAGCCCTGTACCTGCCGGTGCGGCGCCGGGAGCGCCGCGGCTGCTTCGCGGTGCCCATGGTGCACTCGACCTTCCTGCTGGACCTGCGCCGCGCCGGCACCGCCGCGCTCCGCTTCCACCCCCCCCCGCCCGACTACGCCGGCGCCCTGGACGACATCATCGCCTTCGCCCACGCCTGCCGCCGCGCCCGTGAGAGCCCCCGGCACCGCCGTCACGGCGTCGGCATTGGGGATGATGGGAGCAGGGAATGGGATTGGGAGCAGGGAATGGGATTGGGAGCAGGGAATGGGATCGGGAGCAGGGAATGATGGGATCGGCGTCGGGATTGGGAATGGGATTGGGAGCAGGGAATGGGATCAGGGAATGACGGGATCAGTGTTGGGAATGGGATTGGGAGCAGGGAATGGGATTGGGAGCAGGGAATGATGGGAGCAGGGAATGACGGCATCGGGGTCGGGATTGGGAGTCATGGGAGCAGGGATCGGGATTGGGATCAGGGAATGACGGGATCGGGGTTGGGATTGGGAATGATGGGAGCAGGGAATGACGGCATCGGCATTGGGATTGGGAATGATGGGAGCAGGGAATGATGGGATCGGGGTCGGGATTGGGAATGGGATTGGGAGCAGGGAATGGGATCAGGGAATGACGGGATCAGTGTTGGGAATGGGATTGGGAGCAGGGAATGGGATTGGGATCAGGGAATGATGGGAGCAGGGAATGGGATCGGGATCAGGGAATGACGGGATCAGGGTTGGGATTGGGAATGATGGGAGCAGGGAATGGGAGCAGGGAATGACGGCATCGGCGTCGGGATTGGGAATGGGATTGGAAGCAGGGAATGATGGGATCGGCGTCGGGATTGGGAATGATGGGATCAGGGAATGGGATTGGGATCGGAATGATGGGAGCAGGGAATGGGATTGGGAGCAGGGAATGATGGGATCGGTGTCGGGATTGGAATGATGGGAGCAGGATCAGGGATTGGGATCAGGGAATGATGGCATCGGGGTCAGGATTGGGAGTGATGGGAGCAGGGAATGGGATTGGGAGCAGGGAATGACGGCATTGGGGTCGGGATTGGGAATGACGGGAGCAGGATCAGGGAATGATGGGAGCAGGGATCGGGATCAGGGAATGGTGGGATCAGGCAATGATGGGATTGGAATTGGGAATGATGGGATCAGGAAATGATGGGATCAGGGAATGATGGGATCGGGGTTGGGAATCATGGGATCGGGATCAGGGGATTGGGATTGGGAATGACAGGATCAGGGAATGATGGGATCGGGGAATGGTGGGATTGGGGTTGGGAATGATGGGATCAGGGAATGATGGGATTGGGATCAGGGGATCGGGATCAGGGGATCAGGTTCAGGGAATGATGAGAGCAGGGATTGGGATCAGGAATGATGGGATTGGGGATGGGGAGCAGGGAATAGGGATTGATGGGATGAGGGAATCATGGGATCAGTGAATGATGAGATCAGGGATAGGTATCGGGGATCGGGAATGTCGGAATCAGGGGATCATGAGGTCTTGGGATCAGGGAATCGCGGGATCAGGGATTGGGAGCAGGGAATGACGGGATCAGGGAATTGGGAGCAGGGAATCAGGATCGGGAATGATGAGATCAGGGAATCATGGGATCACAGGATCAGGGAATGACGGGATCACGGGATCAGGGAATCGGGATCAGGGGATCATGAGGTCATGGGATCAGGGAATCACAGGATCAGGGAATGATGGGATCATAGGATCACAGGATGAGGGAATCATGGGATCAGGGCTCGGGATCAGGGAATCACGGGATCAGGGAATCATGTGATCAGGGATCAGCATCAGGGAATCACGGGATCAGAGAATGATGGGATCAGGCATCAGGATCAGGGAATCGGGATCAGGGGATCATGAGGTCACGGGATCAGGATCAGGGAATCACGGGATCAGGGATCGGGATCAGGGAATCAGGATCAGGGGATCATGAGGTCACGGGATCAGGGAATCGCGGGATCATTGAACCAGGGAATCACGGGATCAGGGAATCACGGGATCAGGATCAGGGAATCGCGGGGGCGGGGAATGATGGGATCAGGGAATCGCGGGATCATTGAACCAGGGAATCACGGGATCATGGCATTGCCTCAGCTCCGGATCCCGGCTGGAAGGGGGCTGCTCCCCACGCTGCTTCCATTGCCGAGTGCTTTGGGTTTCAGGGTCCGGGGTGGGGGGGATCCTGATCCTGATCCCATTCCCAATCCCGATCATGATCCCGATCCCAATACCTCTGCCAGTCCCAATCCCAATCCCGGTCCCTATCCTGATCCCAGTCCTGGTCCAGATCCCAGTCCCGATCCCAATCCTTATCCCGATCCTGATCCCGATCCTGATCCTGATCCCCATCCTGATCCCAATCCCTATCCCAGTCCTGATCCTGATCCCTATCCTGATCCCGATCCCGATCCCGCTCCCTTTCCCTTCCCGCAGAGGTGCAGATGTTCGTGTGCAACTGGGACGTTTATGGCTGATCCCGATCCCAATCCCGATCCCAATCCCGATCCCGATCCCGATCCCGATCCCGATCCCGATCCCGCTCCCTTTCCCTTCCCGCAGAGGTGCAGATGTTCGTGTGCAACCGGGACGTTTATGGCTGATCCCGATCCCAATCCCGATCCCGATCCCGATCCCGATCCCAATCCCCCTTTGTTCCCGCAGAGGTGCAGATGTTCGTGTGCAACCGGGACGTTTATGACTGATCCCAATCCCGATCCCGATCCCGATCCCGATCCCGCTCCCTTTCCCTTCCCGCAGAGGTGCAGATGTTCGTGTGCAACCGGGACGTTTATGACTGATCCCAATCCTGATCCCGATCCCGATCCCAATCCCGATCCCAATCCCGATCCCGATCCCCCTTTGTTCCCGCAGAGGTGCAGATGTTCGTGTGCAACCGGGACGTTTATGACTGATCCTGATCCCGATCCCGATCCCGATCCCGATCCCAATCCCGATCCCGCTCCCTTTCCCTTCCCGCAGAGGTGCAGATGTTCGTGTGCAACCGGGACGTTTATGACTGATCCCAGTCCTGATCCCGATCCCGATCCCGATCCCAATCCCAATCCCTTTCCCTTCCCGCAGAGGTGCAGATGTTCGTGTGCAACCGGGACGTTTATGACTGATCCCAGTCCTGATCCCGATCCCGATCCCGATCCCAATCCCAATCCCTTTCCCTTCCCGCAGAGGTGCAGATGTTCGTGTGCAACCGGGACATTTATGACTGATCCCGATCCCAATCCCGATCCCGATCCCCCTCTGTTCCCGCAGAGGTGCAGATGTTCGTGTGCAACCGGGACGTTTATGGCTGATCCCGATCCCAATCCTGATCCCGATCCCGCTCCCTTTCCCTTCCCGCAGAGGTGCAGATGTTCGTGTGCAACTGGGACGTTTACGGCTGATCCCAATCCTGATCCCGATCCCGATCCCGATCCCGATCCCGCTCCCTTTCCCTTCCCGCAGAGGTGCAGATGTTCGTGTGCAACCGGGACGTTTACGGCTTCCTGCCGGTGCCGCTGCGCGCTCACAGCTCCCTGCAGGATGAGGCCGAGAGCTTCCTGCACGTCCTGCTCGAGATCATGGGTGAGCCCCCCCCATTCCCTATGGAGCCGGTCCCTATGGAGCCGGTCCCTATGGATCTGTTCCCTATGGATCTGTTCCCTATGGATCCGTTCCTATGGATCTGTTCCCTATGGATCTGTTCCCTATGGAGCCGGTCCTATGGATCTGTTCCCTATGGATCTGTTCCCTATGGATCTGTTCCTATGGATCTGTTCCCTATGGATCTGTTCCCTATGGATCTGTTCCTATGGATCTGTTCCCTATGGATCTGTTCCCTATGGATCTGTTCCCTATGGATCTGTTCCCTATGGATCCATTCCCTATGGATCTGTTCCCTATGGATCTGTTCCCTATGGATCTGTTCCCTATGGATCTGTTCCCTATGGATCCGTTCCCTATGGATCTGTTCCCTATGGAGCTGTTCCTATGGATCCGTTCCCTATGGATCAGTTCCCTATGGATCTGTTCCCTATGGATCTGTTCCCTATGGATCTGTTCCCTATGGATCTGTTCCTATGGATCTGGTCCCTATGGATCTGTTCCCTATGGATCCGTTCCCTATGGATCTGTTCCCTATGGATCCGTTCCCTATGGATCCGTTCCTATGGATCCGTTCCCTATGGAGCCGTTCCCTATGGAGCCGTTCCCTATGGATCTGTTCCCTATGGATCCGTTCCCTATGGATCCGTTCCCTATGGATCCGTTCCCTATGGATCTGTTCCCTATGGATCTGTTCCCTATGGATCCGTTCCCTATGGATCTGTTCCCTATGGATCTGTTCCCTATGGATCCGTTCCCTATGGATCTGTTCCCTATGGATCAGTTCCTTACGGAGCACCCTTCATCCTGCCCTAGTGAAGAACCCCCCCGCGGAGCCGTCCCCCCACGTGTGGGTCCCGCCGAAGGTCCCGGATAAGATGGGATTCGATGAGGTGAGGATCTGGGGACCCCTCCAATGGGATTTGGGAATGGGGGGGGGGGGGGTCCCATCCTGCTGGGATGGATCCGGGGCGTCCCAGGGATTTGGGGGGGATTTTCCCCCCTTTTCGTGGATTCGTGGGGGGGTTACGGAATTTTGGGGATATTTGGTCCCTTTTCTTGAGTTTTTAGGGATTTTTCTCCTGTTTTCTTGGGATTTGGGGAATTTTTTTTCTTTTTATTGAATTTTGGGGATTTTTTCCCTTTTCTTGAATTTTTTTTTTTTTTCTGTTTTCTTGGAATTTGGGGGATTTTTTTCTTTCTATTGAATTTTGAGGATTTTTTTCCCTTTTCTTGAATTTTTGTTTTTTTTTCTGTTTTCTTGGGATTTGGGGGAATTTCTTTCTTTTTACTGAATTTTTGGGATTTTTTTCCCCCTTTTCTTGGAATTTTGGGGATTTTTTCCCTTTTCTTGAATTTTTGTTTTTTTTTTCCTGTTTTCTTGGGATTTGGGGGATTTTTTTTCTTTTTATTGAATTTTGGGGATTTTTTTCCCTTTTCTTGAATTTTTGTTTTTTTTTTCTGTTTTCTTGGAATTTGGGGGATTTTTTTCTTTCTATTGAATTTTGAGGATTTTTTTCCCTTTTCTTGAATTTTTTTTTTTTTTTCTGTTTTCTTGGGATTTGGGGGAATTTTTTTCTTTTTATTGAATTTTGGGGCTTTTTCCCCCCTTTTCTTGAATTTTTGGGTTTTTTTTTTTCTGTTTTCTTGGAATTTGGGGGATTTTTTTCTTTCTATTGAATTTTGGGGATATTTGGTCCCTTTTCTTGAATTTTTAGTTTTTTTTTTCCTGTTTTCTTGGGATTTGGGGGATTTTTTTTCTTTTTATTGAATTTTGGGGATTTTTTTCCCTTTTCTTGAATTTTTGTTTTTTTTTCTGTTTTCTTGGAATTTGGGGGATTTTTTTCTTTCTATTGAATTTTGGGGATTTTTTTCCCTTTTCTTGAATTTTTAGTTTTTTTTTTCCTGTTTTCTTGGGATTTGGGGGATTTTTTTCCTTTTTATTGAATTTTGGGGATTTTTTTCCCTTTTCTTGAATTTTTGTTTTTTTTTTCCTGTTTTCTTGGGATTTGGGGGATTTTTTTTCTTTTTATTGAATTTTGGGGATTTTTTTCCCTTTTCTTGAATTTTTGGTTTTTTTTTTCTGTTTTCTTGGAATTTGGGGGATTTTTTTCTTTCTATTGAATTTTGGGGATATTTGGTCCCTTTTCTTGAATTTTTAGGTTTTTTTTTTCCTGTTTTCTTGGGATTTGGGGGATTTTTTTTCTTTTTATTGAATTTTGGGGATTTTTTTCCCTTTTCTTGAATTTTTGGTTTTTTTTCTGTTTTCTTGGAATTTGGGGGATTTTTTTCTTTTTATTGAATTTTGGGGATTTTTTCCCTTTTCTTGAATTTTTGTTTTTTTTTTTTCTGTTTTCTTGGGATTTGGGGGAATTTTTTTCTTTTTATTGAATTTTGGGGCTTTTTCCCCCCTTTTCTTGAATTTTTTTTTTTCTGTTTTCTTGGGATTTGGGGGAATTTCTTTCTTTTTACTGAATTTTTGGGATTTTTTTCCCTTTATTGAATTTTTGTGTTTTTTTTGTTTTCTTGGAATTTGGGGGATTTTTTTTCTTTTTATTGAATTTTGGGGATTTTTTCCCTTTTCTTGAATTTTTGGGGTTTTTTTTTCTCTTTTCTTGGAATTTGGGGGATTTTTTTTCTTTTTATTGAATTTTGGGGATTTTTTCCCTTTTCTTGAATTTTTGTTTTTTTTTCTGTTTTCTTGGAATTTTGGGGAATTTTTTCTTTTTATTGAATTTTTGGATTTTTTTCCCTTTTTTGAATTTTTGGTTTTTTTTTCTGTTTTCTTGGGATTTGGGGAATTTTTTTCTTTTTATTGAATTTTGGGGCTTTTTCCCTTTTCTTGAATTTTTGTTTTTTTTTCCTGTTTTTTTGGGGGATTTTTTTCTTTTTATTGAATTTTGGGGCTTTTTCCCTTTTCTTGAATTTTTGTTTTTTTTTTCTGTTTTCTTGGAATTTGGGGGAATTTTTTCTTTTTATTGAATTTTGGGGATTTTTTTCCCTTTTCTTGAATTTTTGGTTTTTTTTTCCTGTTTTCTTGGGATTTGGGGGATTTTTTTCTTTTTATTGAATTTTGGGGATTTTTTTCCCTTTTCTTGAATTTTTGGTTTTTTTTTCCTGTTTTCTTGGGATTTGGGGGATTTTTTTCTTTCTATTGAATTTTGGGGATATTTGGTCCCTTTTTCTTGAATTTTTAGTTTTTTTTTTTCCTGTTTTCTTGGGATTTGGGGGATTTTTTTCTTTTTATTGAATTTTGGGGATTTTTTTCCCTTTTCTTGAATTTTTTTTTTCTGTTTTCTTGGGATTTGGGGGAATTTTTTTCTTTTTATTGAATTTTGGGGATTTTTTTTCCCTTTTCTTGAATTTTTGGGTTTTTTTTCCTGTTTTCTTGGGATTTGGGGGATTTTTTTCTTTTTATTGAATTTTGGGGTATTTGGTCCCTTTTCTTGAATTTTTAGGTTTTTTTTTTCCTGTTTTCTTGGGATTTGGGGGATTTTTTTCCTTTTTATTGAATTTTGGGGATTTTTTTTCTTTTTCTTGAATTTTTGGAATTTTTTTTTTTTCTGTTTTCTTGGGATTTTTTTTTTTTCTTTTTATTGAATTTTGGGGATTTTTTTTTTTCTTGAATTTTTGTTTTTTTTTTTCCTGAATTTTTTTTTCCCTTTTCTTGGAATTTTGGGGATTTTTTTTCTTTTTATTGAATTCTGGGATTTTTTTTCCCCTTTTCTTGAATTTTTTTTTTCTGTTTCCTTGGAATTTTGGGGAAATTTTTTCTTTTTATTGAATTTTTGGGATTCTTTCCCCCTTGAATTTTTGGAGTTTTTTCTGTTTTCTTGGAATTTTGGGTTTTTTTTCTGTCTTCTTGGAATTTGGGGATTTTTTTCTTTTTATTGATTTTTTTTCTGTTTATTGAATTTTTGAGATTTTCCCCCCTTTTCTTGAATTTTTTGAGTTTTTTCTGTTTTCTTGGAATTTGGGATTTTTTTTCTTTTTATTGAGTTTTTGAGTTTTTTTTTCCCCTTGGAAATTTGGGGAATTTTTTTCTTTTTATTGAATTTTAGGATTTTTTTTCCCCCTTTTCTTGATTTTTTTTTTCTGTTTTCTTGGAATTTGGGGATTTTTTGTCTTTTTATTGAATTTTTGGGATTTTTTTCCCCCTTTTCTTGAATTTTGGAGGTTTGCCCCTTCTCTTGAGCTTTTAGGATTTTTTTTTCTTGGAATTTTGGAGCTTTTTCCCCCCTTTTCTTGACTTTTTTTTTTTTTTCCTGTTTTCTTGGAATTTGTGGATTTTTTTTCTTTTTATTGAATTTTCTTTTCCCTTTTTCTTGATTTTGAATTTTAGGATTTTTTTTTTTTTCTGATTTTTTTGGGATTTTTTTCCCTTTTTATTGAATTTTTGGGATTTTTTTCCCTTTTCTTGATTTTTTTTTCTTGGAATTTTTGGGAAATTTTTTCTTTTTTATTGAATTTTGGGATTCTTTCCCCCTTGAATATTTGGACTTTTTTCTGTTTTCTTGGAATTTTGGCTTTTTTTTCTGTTTTCTTGGAATTTGGGGATTTTTTCTGTTTTCTTGGAATTTGGGGATTTTTTTCTTTTTATTGATTTTTTTTCCTGTTTACTGAATTTTTGGAATTTTTCCCCCTTGTATTTTTGGAGTTTTTTTCTGTTTTCTTGGAATTTGGAAATTTTTTTCTTTTTATTGAATTTTTGGGGTTTTTTCCCTTTTCTTGGAATTTTGGGGATTTTTTTTCATTTTATTGAATTTTGGGATTTTTTCCCCCTGTTCTTGAATTTTTTTTTTTTTCTGTTTTCTTGGAATTTTGGGGATTTTTTTCTCTTTTTATTGAATTTTTGGGATTTTTTTTTCCCCCTTTTCTTGAATTTTGTTTTTTTTTCCGTTTTCTTTGGATTTCGGGGAATTTTTCTTTTTACTAAATTTTTGGGAATTTTTTTTTCCTTTTCCTGGAATGTTGAGGATTTTTTCCCTTTTCTTGAATTTTTGTTTTTTTTTTTCCCTGTTTTCTTGGAATCTGGGGATTATTTTTCTTTTTATTGAGTTTTTGGGATTTTTCCCCCTTTTCCTGAATTTTTGGAGTTTTTTTCTGTTTTCTTGGAATTTTTTTTTTTTTTTCCTTGGAATTTGGGGATTATTTTTCTGTTTATTGAATTTTTGGGATTTTCCCCCCCTTGAATTTTTTGAGTATTTTCTGTTTTCTTGGCATTTGGAGAATTTTTTTCTTTTTATTGAATTTTTGAAGTTTTTCCCTTTTTCTTGGAATTTCGGGGAATTTTTTTCTTTTTATTGAATTTTGGGATTTTTTTCTCTTTTCCTGGAATTTGGGGCCCTTTTTCCCCCCTTTTCTTGACTTTGGTTTTTTTTTTCTGTTTTCTTTGGATTTCATGAAATTTTTCCTTTTCTGGAATTTTTATTTTTTCCCCTTTTCCTGGAATTTTGGGGCATTTTTTTCCTTTTTCTGGAATTTTTATTTTTTTCCCATTTCCTGGAATTTGGGGGAATTTTTTCCTTTTTCTGGGATTTTTATTTTTTTCCCTTTTCCTGGAATTTTGGGGAATTTTTTCTTTTTCTGGAATTTTTGAGGTTTTTTCCCTTTTCCTGGACTTTCGGGAATTTTTTCCTTTTTCTGGAATTTTTTTTCCCTTCTGGAATTTTGGGGATTTTTTTCCTTTTTCTGGAATTTTTGTGGGTTTTTTTTCCCATTTCCTGGAATTTGGGGGAATTTTTTCCTTTTTCTGGAATTTTTTTTTTCCCCTTTTCCTGGAATTTTGGGGCATTTTTTTCCTTTTTCTGGAATTTTTATTTTTTTTCCCATTTCCTGGAATTTGGGGGAATTTTTTCCTTTTTCTGGGATTTTTATTTTTTTTCCCTTTTCCTGGAATTTTGGGGAATTTTTTCCTTTTTCTGGAATTTTTTTTTTTCCCTTCTCCTGGAATTTTGGGGATTTTTTCCTTTTTCTGGAATTTTGGGGAATTTTTTCCTTTTTCTGGAATTTTTGTTTATTTTTTTCCCCTTTTCCTGGAATTTTTTGGAATTTTTTTATTTTTCTGGATTTTTTTTCCCTTTTTCCTGGAATTTTGGGGAATTTTTTCCTTTTTCTGGAATTTTTGTTTATTTTTTTCCCTTTTCCTGGAATTTTGGGGAATTTTTTCCTTTTTCTGGAATTTTTGTTTATTTTTTTCCCCTTTTCCTGGAATTTTGGGGAATTTTTTCCCTTTTCGGGAATTTTTGTCCTTTTTTTTCTTTTCCTGGAATTTTCAGGAAGTTTTTCCTTTTTCTGGAATTTTTGTGGTTTTTTTTTCCCTTTTCCTAGAATTTGGGGGAAAATTTTTCCTTTTTCTGGGATTTTTGTTTATTTTTTTTCCTTTTCCTGGAATTTGGGGGAATTTTTTCCTTTTTCTGGGATTTTTGTTTATTTTTTCCCTTTTCCTGGAATTTTGGGGAATTTTTTCCTTTTTCTGGAATTTTTGTGGTTTTTCCCTTTTCCCGGAATTTTGGGGAATTTTTTCCTTTTTCTGGAATTTTTGTGTTTTTTTTTTCCCTTTTCCTAGAATTTGGGGGAAAATTTTTCCTTTTTCTGGGATTTTTGTGTTTTTTTTCCCTTTTCCTGGAATTTGGGGGAATTTTTTCCTTTTTCTGGGATTTTTGGTTTTTTTCCCCGTTTTCCTGGAATTTGGGGGAATTTTTTTTCTTTTTCTGGGATTTTTTTTATTTTTTTTCCCTTTTCCTTGAATTTTGGGGAATTTTTTCCTTTTTCTGGGATTTTTTTTTATTTTTTTCCCTTTTCCTGGAATTTTGGGGAACTTTTTTCCTTTTTCTGGAATTTTTGATTTTTTTTTCCTTTTCCTGGAATTTTTTGGATTTTTTCCCTTTTTCTGGAATTTTTGTTTATTTTTTCCATTTCCTGGAATTTGGGGGAATTTTTTTCTTTTTCTGGAATTTTTTTATTTTTTTCCCTTTTCCTGGAATTTTGGGGAATTTTTTCCTTTTTCTGGAATTTTTGTTTTTATTTTTTCCCTTTTCCTGGAATTTTGGGGAATTTTGTTTTTTTTCTGGAATTTTTTATTATTTTTTCCCGTTTTCCTGGAATTTTTTGGCATTTTTTCCTTTTTCTGGAATTTTTGTGTTTTTTTTTCCCTTTTCCTGGAATTTTGGGGCATTTTTTCTTTTTCCTGGAATTTTTGTGGGTTTTTTTCCCCTTTTCCTGGAATTTTGGGGAATTTTTTCCTTTTTCTGGAATTTTTGTTTTTTTTTTCCTTTTCCTGGAATTTTGGGGCATTTTTTCTTTTTCCTGGATTTTTTGTGGGTTTTTTTCCCCTTTTCCTGGAATTTTTTGGAATTTTTTCCTTTTTCTGGAATTTTTGTTTTTTTTTTCCCTTTTCCTGGAATTTTGGGGAATTTTTTCCTTTTTCTGGAATTTTTATTTTTTCCCCTTTTCCTGGATTTTTTTGGAATTTTTTTCCTTTTTCTGGAATTTTTGTGTTTTTTTTTCCCTTTTCCTGGAATTTTGGGGAATTTTTTCCTTTTTCTGGAATTTTTGTGGTTTTTTTTCCCTTTTCCTGGAATTTTTTGGAATTTTTTCCTTTTTCTGGAATTTTTGTGGGTTTTTTTCCCTTTTCCTGGAATTTTGGGGCATTTTTTCTTTTTTCTGGAATTTTTGTGGTTTTTTTTCCCCTTTTCCTGGAATTTTGGGGAATTTTTTTCTTTTTCCTGACGTTTTGCTCTTTCTCTCCCCCCTTCCTCCATCCCCCCCCCCCCATTCCCTCTTTCCCAGGTTTTCCTCATCAACCTGCGGCGCCGCGCCGAGCGCCGGGCGCGGATGCTGCGGACGCTGCAGGAGCAGGAGATCTCCTGCAAGCTGGTGGAGGCCGTGGATGGGAGGTGAGTGATGGGGGGGGGTGTGTGTGGAATTCCCAGCTCCCATGGGAATGGGGCCGGGCTGCAGGCGGGGGCCTTGCAGGGCCATGAACAGCAGCGAGGTGCAGGCGCTGGGCATCCGGATGCTGCCGGGATACCGGGATCCGTACCACGGCCGCCCGCTCACCAAGGGGGAGCTGGGATGTTTCCTGAGCCACTACCGGGTCTGGCAGGAGGTGAGAGCTGATCCCGGGGGGAATGGGGGGAGGAGCCCTTAATCCTGGTGGGAATGAGGGGAATGAGCCCTTAATAATGATGGGAATGAGGGGAATGATCCGTTAATAATGATGGGAATGAGCCTTTAATAATGATGGGAATGAGGGGAATGAGCCTTTAATAATGATGGGAATGATGGGAATGAGCCTTTAATAATGATGGGAATGATGGGAATGAGTCGTTAATAATGATGGGAATGAGCCCTTAATCCTGGTGGGAATGAGGGGAATGAGCCTTTAATAATGATGGGAATGATGGGAATGAGCCTTTAATAATGATGGGAATGATGGGAATGAGTCGTTAATAATGATGGGAATGAGCCCTTAATCCTGGTGGGAATTATGGGAATGAGCCCTTATAATGATGGGAATGATGGGAATGAGTCGTTAATAATGATGGGAATGAGCCCTTAATCCTGATGGGAATGATGGGAATGAGCCCTTAATAATGATGGGAATGATGGGAATGAGTCGTTAATAATGATGGGAATGAGCCCTTAATCCTGGTGGGAATGATGGGAACAAGTCACTGATCCTGATGGGAATGAGGGGAATGAGCCTTTAATAATGATGGGAATGATGGGAATGAGCCCTTAATAATGACGGGAATTATGGGAATAGAGCCCTTAATAATGATGGGAATGATGGGAATGATCCATTAATAATGATGGGAATGAGCCTTTAATAATGATGGGAATGATGGGAATGAGCCCTTAATAATGATGGGAATGAGGGGAATGAGCCTTTAATAATGATGGGAATGAGCCCTTAATAATGATGGGAATGAGCCCTTAATAATGATGGGAATGATGGGAATGATCCGTTAATAATGATGGGAATGAGCCTTTAATAATGATGGGAATGAGGGGAATGATCCGTTAATAATGATGGGAATGAGCCCTTAATAATGATGGGAATGATGGGAATGATCCGTTAATAATGATGGGAATGAGCCTTTAATAATGATGGGAATGATGGGAATGAGCCCTTAATAATGATGGGAATGAGCCCTTAATAATGATGGGAATGATGGGAATGATACCTTAATAATGATGGGAATGAGCCTTTAATAATGATGGGAATGATGGGAATGATCCATTAATAATGATGGGAATGATCCCTTAATAATGATGGGAATGATGGGAATGAGTCGTTAATAATGATGGGAATGAGCCCTTAATCCTGGTGGGAATGATGGGAACAAGTCACTGATCCTGATGGGAATGAGGGGAATGAGCCTTTAATAATGATGGGAATGATGGGAATGAGCCCTTAATAATGATGGGAATGAGGGGAATAGAGCCCTTAATAATGATGGGAATGATACCTTAATAATGATGGGAATGAGCTTTTAATAATGATGGGAATGATGGGAATGAGCCCTTAATAATGATGGGAATGAGCCCTTAATAACGATGGGAATGATGGGAATGAGTCGTTAATAATGATGGGAATGAGCCCTTAATCCTGGTGGGAATGATGGTAACAAGTCACTGATCCTGATGGGAATGAGGGGAATGAGTTGTTAATCCTGATGGGAATGAGGGGAATGAGCCTTTAATAATGATGGGAATGAGTCACTGATCCTGATGGGAAGGATGGGGACTGATCCCGGTGGGAAGGAAGGGGCCGAGTCCCTGATCCTGATGGCGAGAAAGGGGATGCGCGGATGTAAGGGCAGAAATGAGTCCTAAACCCAATGGGATGGGTCCCTGTTATCAATGGGATGGGTCCCTGTTGTCAACGGGATGGGTCCCTGTTGTCAACGGGATGGATCCCTGTTGTCAATGGGTTGGATCCCTGTTGTCAATGGGATGGATCCCTGTTGTCAACGGGATGGATCCCTGTTATCAACGGGATGGATCCCTGTTGTCAATGGGATGGATCCCTGTTGTCAATGGGATGGATCCCTGTTGTCAATGGGATGGATCCCTGTTGTCAATGGGTTGGATCCCTGTTGTTCCTGGGATGGATCCCTGTTGTCCCTGGGATGGATCCCTGTTGGGATGGATCCCTGTTGTCCCTGGGATGGATCCCTGTTGTCAATGGGATGGATCCCTGTTGTCAATGGGATGGGTCCCTGTTATCAATGGGATGGGTCCCTGTTGTCAATGGGATGGATCCCTGTTGTCAATGGGATGGATCCCTGTTGTCAATGGGATGGATCCCTGTTGTCAATGGGATGGGTCCCTGTTGTCAATGGGTTGGATCCCTGTTGTCAATGAGTTGGATCCCCCATCCCATTGGGATGGATCCCTGTTGTCAATGGGATAGATCCCTGTTATCAATGGGATGGATCCCTGTTGTCAATGGGTTGGATCCCTGTTGTCAATGGGTTGGATCCCTGTTGTCAATGGGATGGATCCCTGTTGTCAATGGGATGGATCCCTGTTGTCAATGAGTTGGATCCCTGTTGTCAATGGGTTGGATCCCTGTTGTCAATGGGATGGATCAGCAGGACGGGGGGGGTCAGGGTCAGGGGCTGCCCCCCGTCGCCCCCCGTCTCCGTCCCCGTTGCCCCGTCCCCGCAGATCGCGGCGCGGGGGCTCGGGGCCTCGCTGGTCTTCGAGGACGATCTCCGCTTCGAGATCTTCTTCAAGCGCCGCCTCCGGACCCTGATGCAGGAGCTCGAAACGCAGCGGATCCCGTGGGACCTCATGTGAGCGGCGCGGGGAACGGGACGGGAACGGGAATGGGAACGGGAACGGGAATGGGAACGGGACGGGAACGGGAATGGGAAAGGGAACGGGAACGGGAATGGGAATGGGAATGGGAACGGGAACGGGAATGGGAACGGGAATGGGAACGGGAATGGGAATGGGAACGGGAATGGGAACGGGAACGGGAATGGGAACGGGAACGGGAACGGGAATGGGAACGGGAACGGGAACGGGAATGGGAACGGGAACGGGAACGGGAATGGGAACGGGAACGGGAACGGGAATGGGAACGGGAACGGGAACGGGAATGGGAACGGGAATGGGAACGGGAACGGGAACGGGAACGGGAATGGGAACGGGAATGGGAACGGGAACGGAACGGGAACGGGAATGGGAACGGGACGGGAATGGGAACAGAACGGGAACGGGAACGGAACGGGAATGGGAACGGGAATGGGAACGGGAATGGGAACGGGAATAGGAACGGGAACGGGAATGGGAACGGGAACGGGAACGGGACGGGAATGGAACGGGAATGGGAACGGGAACGGGAATGGGAACGGGAACGGGAAGGGAATGGGAACGGGAAAGGGAACGGGAACGGAACGGGAACGGGAAAGGGAACAGGAATGGGAACCGGAACGGGAACGGGAACGGGAATGGGAACGGGAACGGGACGGGAACGGGACGGGAACGGGAATGGGAATGGGAACGGGAACGGGAATGGGAATGGGAACGGGAACGGGAACGGGAACGGGACGGGAACGGGAACGGGAATGGGAACGGGAACGGGAAAGGGAACGGGAACGGGAACGGGAATGGGAACGGGAACGGGAACGGGAATGGGAACGGGAACGGGAATGGGAACGGGAATGGGAACGGGAATGGGAACGGGACGGGAACGGGAACGGGAACGGGAACGGGAATGGGACGGGAATGGGAACGGGAATGGAACGGGAACGGGAATGGGAACGGGAACGGGAATGGGAACGGAACGGGAACGGGACGGGAACGGGAACGGGAATGGGAACGGGAACGGGAACGGGAACGGGAACGGGAATGGGAACGGGAACGGGAACGGGAATGGGAACGGGAATGGGAAAGGGAACGGGAATGGGACGGGAACGGGAATGGAACGGGAACGGGAACGGGAACGGGAACGGGAAAGGGAACGGGACGGGAATGGGAACGGGACGGGAACGGGAACGGGAACGGGAATGGGAATGGGAACGGGAACGGGACCGGGAACGGGAATGGGAATGGGAACGGGAAAGGGAACGGGAATGGGAATGGGACCGGGAACGGGAACGGGAACGGGACCGGGACCGGGAACGGGAATGGGAACGGGAACGGGAACCGCGCCCCCCTCCGCCGCCCCCACCGCGCCCCCCTCCGCCGCCCCCAGCCCCACTGCGCCCCCCTCCGCCGTTCCCAGCCCCACTCCACCGCTCCCAGCCCCACTGAGCTCCTGTCCGCCGCTCCCAGCCCCACCGCGCCGCTCCCAGCCCCACTGCACCGCTCCCAGCCCCACCGCACCGCTCCCAGCCCCTCTCCGCCCCTCCCAGCCCCCCACTGCACCGCTCCCCGCCCCTCTCCGCCGCTCCCAGCCCCACTGCACCCCCGTCCGCCGCTCCCATCCCCACCGCTCCCCGCTCCCCGCAGTTACCTCGGCCGGAAGCGGATGCAGCTGGAGCGGCCGGAGCGGCCGGTGCCGGGGGTGCGGAACCTGGTGGAAGCCGGTTACTCCTACTGGAGCCTGGGCTACGTCCTGGCCCTGCGCGGCGCCCGCAAGCTCCTGGCGGCCCAGCCCCTGGCCAAGCTGCTGCCCGTGGACGAGTTCCTGCCCCTCATGTTCGACAGGCACCCGATGTGAGGAGCGCGGAGGGAAGGGGGAATGGGGAGGAATGGGGAGGGAATGGGGAGGGAATGGGGAGGGGATGGGGAGGGAATGGGGAGGGGATGGGGAGGGGATGGGGAGGGGATGGGGAGGGGATGGGAAGGGGATGGGGAGGGGATGGGGAGGGGATGGGGAGGGGATGGGGAGGGGATGGGGAGGGGATGGGGACGGAGTGGCGAGGGACACGGGTGGGGATGGGGAGGGGATGGGGAGGGAATGGGGAGGGGATGGGGAGGGATGGGGAGGGAGTGGGGAGGGAATGGGGAGGGGATGGGGAGGGGATGGGGAGGGGATGGGGAGGGGATGGGGAGGGGATGGGGGGGGAATGGGGGGGGGATGGGGAGGGGATGGGGGGGGAATGGGGAGGGGATGGGGAGGGGATGGGGAGGGGATGGGGTGGGGATGGGGAGGGAGTGGGGAGGGAATGGGGTGGGGATGGGGAGGGGATGGGGAGGGGATGGGGAGGGAATGGGGAGGGGATGGGGAGGGGATGGGGAGGGGATGGGGAGGGGATGGGGGGATAGGGGGGGATGGGGGGAATGGGGGGAATGGGGCGGGACAGCGGGAATGGGGCGAGAATGGGGCTGGAAGGGGTGGGAATGGGGCGGGACAGCGGCAATGGGGCGGGAATAGGGGGGAATGGGGTGGGAATGGGGCGGGACAGCGGGAATGGGGCGAGAATGGGGCTGGAAGGGGTGGGAATGGGGCTGGAAGAGAAGGGAGTGGGGAGGGAGAGAAGGGAATGGGGGGAAGGGAAGGGGTGGGAATGGGGCTGGAAGGGGTGGGAATGGGGCTGGAAGGGGTGGGAACGGGGCTGGAAGGGGTGGGAACGGGGCTGGAAGGGGTGGGAACGGGGCAGGAAGGGAAGGGAACGGGGCAGGAAGGGAAGGGAACGGGGCAGGAAGGGAAGGGAATGGGGCTGGAAGGGGTGGGAATGGGGCTGGAAGGGGTGGGAATGGGGCTGGAAGGGGTGGGAATGGGGCTGGAAGGGAAGGGAATGGGGCTGGAAGGGGTGGGAATGGGGCTGGAAGGGGTGGGAATGGGGCTGGGAAGGGGTGGGAATGG